CCCCAAAACCCCAAAACCCCAAAACCCCAAACTTGCTCTTCTATGTTGGAAATAAATATTTAGACTCACAAAGTACAAAAATGAAATGATAAACTAGCTATATTTCAACTAGAGTTGTTAGGAAATCATTCTTATATATTTCATTTCTTTGTTGGTTACTGTATCTCCAAATCATTTGGAATGATCAGATAGTTTTCACTCGCTATATTTGAAATTAAGTTTTGCCATTACATAAACTAAGCTTTAGTGGATGTTTTAGATATCTTAAAATTTGCACTACTAATTTTCCAAGAAATAGGAATGCTAGTTATGAGCAATATTGTTACATTTTCATGCTTAAAGTCTCATTCAGTAATAGAAGAAAACATTATGATATGAAATCGAAAGCTCTGTTATGGAATTGAATGGTAAATATAACTTACAAAAACTCGCAAGAATCTCTTCCTCTGACATTATCATAAACAAATCAGTGCTGTTTATAGTCAATATGTGGGCCCGTTCAGATTCTCAAATTATTTTTCAATTTATAGGAGTTTTGGATATCAATTCATGAAGCCCAAAGACTTGTTTTGAGGAAATCTTGGCTATCTCTCTGATTACTTTTCTATTTAACTATTCTGATTTCCCACTTATTATAGCCAGATGGCCAGACATTTGGGATTCTGAGCTCAAGCTTCTTTTCAACTTTTAGAATTCCATCTTTAACTATATACAGCTGATTAACTGGAGTATTAGCGTCAATGACAACTTGCCCCTTCTTAAATATTGTTGAATTATAACTCTGAGCTAGCAGCCTAGCCTTAGCATAATTAACGTCTTTCAAGAAATCTAGAGACTTATTAAATTCTATGTTATTTATAAAGCTCAGATTTGTGGAAAGACTCAACGATCTGGCAATAATTTGAAGCTGACAGATATAGAGCTTTGACATCAGTCAGTGCAATACAGGTAGCTCCTCTGCTAGCTTCTTTCAATAGTCCTGCTTCTCCTAAGACACCTCCTGCTCCTTTTTGTGCAATACATTTGCCTTCTTTGCCTGTATTCTCAAGTTCTTTAACAGTTTGAAGATAGATGCCGATATCTCCTGAATATATCACGATCATGAATTCACTTTTATCGCCTTTTCCCATGACTACCTTGCCTTCTCTGTAATTCACTGGGGCTAGCTTCTCTCAGACTCTGTCCATGATCAGTTCTGGGTATAGTAGGAAGAAATCGATGTTTCTGAGCCAGCTCTTGAGAACGATCTCATCATTTGCATTCCGATTTGCCACTGGCAACTCACAGACCTGGAAAGGATTAAGCTTCATTTTCTTCACGATTTCAGGGAAGATATCTCTTCAAAAAGTAGTGAAATCTATATTTAGACAGTATAATTTACCTTCTTTGATCAAAGAATTTGAGAAGAGATCTTTCTGGAAAATATCTCTTTTTAGGGGTTCTGGCTCAATATCCTTTGACTTATCCTTCTCTTTTTGTTTCTTGAGTTCCTGCTCCTTGCGCCACTCAACTGCTCTTCTGTTTAAATCTGATCTGTAGTGAGACTCGGTTTGGTATTTGTGAAGAAATTTATTTGAAAATTGCATTCCTGACCCTCATATTCAAGGTCTTCTTTGAAACCTTAAGGGTGTCGAGCTCACTATGAATTAATTGCAAAGGAATACTTCTTCACATCATTTCACTTGGAAAGTACTGTGTCAGCCTGTCTGGATAATCTAAACTAAATGGAAAGATAACTTACTGAGAGATCCTTCTCGCTGAGAATATATTTCTCTCTTTAGGAGTACTCATAAGGTCCCTACTTGAGAAAAAACCCTCATTTTTCAGCATAAATGAATGGACATCTAGAGATCAGTGAGATATTACTCTGGGACATCTCTTTTGTTTTGGAGAAAACTTTCTTCAGCTTTACAGGTTTGTTATATTTACTATCAACAAAATCCGTGTTCTTCTTGTTCCGAGGAGAATAACTCTTAAGACTTCTCATTTTGGCTATGAAAGTAAGCATTAAAAGCAAAATCTAATGCTCAAAGAATGTCGTGAGAGCTTACTCTCTAGGTCAACACTGAGGAACTTATTTTTGATTTTGTGCTTAACTTTCAAGATTTTCTGATCATCTTTGAGCTTCTTAACTCCGATATCTGTGAGAAGTTTCACATCTGGGATGATATCACTGATCATCTTATTTAGATTTCTCTATAAAGGGTACAGAGTTGTTCAAAAACAGCTTACTCAAAGGATTCCTGATACTGGTATAAGTCTTGTTCATGGGGCTTTTAGCTTTAATTCGCTATTTAAGATAAGATAAGCTCGATAAAATTTTTATTACCTTTCTTATGTTCCTCCCGAGCCTGTTCTGGTCGACCATTTTTGGAGACACAAAAGTTGTATGATTGTTTCTCTATTTTATATTAATTCCTTTTGATGTAAGAATATAGGAATTTTTGGTGAAATATGTAGTCTGCAGCATGAAAATTTACCTCAAATTTTAAATTTGGCAACATCTGGGCATCAGGACTAGTCAATTTTGGAGATACCTCCTTGCTGTTGACATAATATGTTGGCGTTTTGATGTGGAGACTTTTCATATTTATTTTCAAAAATTAACACCTTTTGGGGTTTTGGGGTTTTGGGGTTTTGGGG